CCCAAGGAAGGACGTCTGGTCTAATTAGCATATTATGCTGTTATTATTATAGATATTAGGGATTTAACCTACATCCAGTTCTTCAACAAATGCTGCTAAATCTTCTTTCCAAAGATCTGAAGGAGATTTTCTTTTAAGATCATTGACCTCTCGCCCCTATGATAAAAAAAGTAGTATGATTTTAAACATCCGATAATAGGAAAAAAATGTATAAACGGTAAATCAAAATACTTCTTTTTGAAAAAAGAAAAACAAAGATATGGATAGCACTGAAATAGTTTCAAATTATTTAACCCACAAAAGTTCATACTTTTGAATCTCTCTGTTTAATCAGTTCTTCAACTTTTTCTTTAGTAAGAGACCACAGAGACATATTTAAAATATAATTAAAATCAGGGCCTGAAGGAGTTCCTGAATCAGAGGAACTATCATCATGCTGGTTTTGTGTTTCTTCCTCTTCTGTTGCCTGTAAAAAATAATAAACTTTGTATTAAAGTCCTGTATAGCATCAAATCATTGTTGAATTTTATCGAATACGGATTTTAAAATTCCATTAATGCTATATTCTTAGTGCTACATCTTCAGTTAGTGGAGTTATTTTAGATTATCTGCAAAATTACCTAAAAATATATTTCCTATAAAAAGCTTAAATGTTCTAAAAATGTATAATAAAGTCTTCAAAAGGAGTGGTATATTCAGTTCCTATTCATCCAGGAATGTGATAAAAAATTAACTGTATTGCCCAGGCACTATAATTCACAAAATGAGAAGACACAAAATTAACAGAGTGGAACTAAAGTTTTATCACTGCATCTTGTCAAATTTTTATATCAGTGAGTGAATGAACAATTTGAAACCCAAAATAAATGTCACTTGTGAAAAATGTTTTACAGTTATACTAAATATGCTAAGGTACAGTCAACTCTCTAAGGATGAATTCTTGATAAAAATTCTCTAAGCAAGACTAATCATGTAAGGACTAAGAAAATTCACTTAAGAATTTAAGAGCTGTTGAGTAAAAGTCTGAATTATGAGGACTATTCTAAAGTTTGACTCATAAGGTCTTTTTCACAAGAAAGGATTGCAATAAAAAATCCTCATGCTAATATCAAATTTCAAAATGCAATGAATTTAATAGAAATTGTAGGTGACATTACCTTTAAATCTTTTTAAATAATAATAGCCATTACATAAAACTGCATCTAAATTGTTTAAGGCACTCAGATAATTAAAAATGACTGAGTTAACCATGACACTCCATTAAACAAAAAAGTTCACTTTTGGTAACCAAAAGAGAAAAAAAAGTTTTACAATTTAAAATGTTCAGTAAAATAATACATATAAACAAAGTCAAGTTTAAGTAAGTATACTTTAGAAACAAAAGGATAAAAGTGAAAAATTGCAAAGCAAGAGGCCGCATTACATAAACAAACTATAAAATTATGCAACAGCAGCCAAATAAGGAATACTGTTGTTCGGCTGATAGATCATTAATAGATACCTGGATAACTTGTGATAAGTTTTTAAAAAGTTCATCATGAAACAGTGTGCTGCTATGGAATATTTAGGTTGTTACACTACTAAAAAATACTATTAGAGTGTCATAAAATCCTGCTTAGACCCACACTTTACAAGTATATTTGCTCTAGGTTTTGATGACACTGGAGTGTTATTTATTAGCGAGCACTCCAAAATATGTTTATCTATCATTGTTAACACGAAGGTGACTAAGGATACTTTCAGAAATAAAAATATAAATACACTTTTCAAGGTTCAATGACCAAATTCTACTATGATTTTGAAGAGGAAAAAAACCCAAAATACTATAATCTTCTAATTATCTGTTTTATAATTCTCTCTTCTCCAAATTCTACACAATAGGACAGGCTTTTAAGGGTGCTTCTTTTGTTACTTGAACCCACAAATGGAACCCACAAAATGAACCCATGACCAAGATGCTGAGCAAATTCTGATGGTGGCAATGAATGATTAAAACCAAGTACTAGGTTTTATCTATGAAGTCTATTTCCAACAGAAGGGCATTCTCAAACTCTAAACACATATCTTTTAAAACTAAGCATTAAATTCATTAGCTCACTAGTTGATTTTTTTTACGACAAAAATTAAACTAACAGTGATACAGAAGGGCAAATTAGTATATAAACTATAATTTGGGGGTTACGAATGCAATAAAACACATTGAAAGGAAAGCAAATGCTTGTTAGGTTATCTTAATTCTGAATGATCCCTATCTTATCCTACCCCTTTTTCCTCAAATGATGAATAAGCCTGTTATCTTACTATGACTTGCAAAATATATAATTTATTCAAATTTTTCTCACTCTAATATATAGCATTCTAATAACTGTTCAAAATTGAAAAAAAGCTATAATAGTGTAAATGAAAGCAGCATTTCAATACAGATTGATGAAAAATCTGAAAAACATTATGGTTGAGAACTCATAAGTATAGGGAAGTTTAAAGTTTCAGTTCAAGTTATGTCACATAATCATAACTGTATTTTAAAGATGCTAGCACAGTACCATATGTACACAATAGTCTAATTAAGTATCAAAAATTAATCATTTCCAATTTTCTTCCTTTTGTACATTTGTGTTCTCAATCACAATGTTGTATTGCCTTTCTAAAATTTTCCTTTAATTATGCATGACAGCAAGAAACTAATTCTTGAGAGGAATCTCAAAGTTCAATATTCCATTCACTGAACTAATATTAGTACTTTATGATCTAAAATGGACAATTTAATTAAAAACATCAGACTTTTAATCTCAAGTTCCAGGGTTTAAATCTCCAGCCAAAGATCTAAGCACAGGACAGAATACAGATGGTGCTTGATAAATACTATAAGATCAAACATTTTGTCTCTACTCTTCCCAGAAAAAATTGAAACCAGATCAAGTGAATGGTGACTGGATTACGATGCTGTGACCAGAGAATGACCAATGTAAACTTATTTATGTACTACCAGTATAGTTCCCAGATAATATGCATGCAGCTCACAAAAACCACCACCATAACTGACACCCTTTAATGGCAGGCTCAGAAAAAAGGCCAAGGAGACTGAGCTACCTTCTCACACCTGGAGTCATTTCTCCAGGCCCTGGTTGAGTCACACTGGCCAAGTGCTTTGTGGTGGGTGTGCACTGCAAATTCCTGTACTGTATCTGTTCTGTGGATAAACAGAAGACTTCAGTCTCCAAACAGACAACTTAACACCTTAAGCAGTACTAAATTTAAATTTTAAGGGTTGGGTTTTTTGTTTGTTTTGGAAGTTGCTTTTAAAAGCTTCTCTGAATGTCTTGTTCTGCAAATGATTACCTTTTCTTGTGCTTCTTTCCAGGCTTTCACTGGGTCAGATTCATAACCTCTCTGGACTAACATTTGAATCAAATCTTTCTTTGACCTATTCTCTATGTGAGGGAAAAATAAAGTTAGGATCAAGAAAAGAGATTCAATTTGTATTTGTTTATATTCTACTGATAAAAATGTCTTCTATTTAATAAAGATTTTTTCCATTTTAACTAATGTTTAAATTTTTAAAAGTTGTGTCTTACCTATGGTAATTTTCCCTTGTATCTTCTCTAAAATGAAACGAGCTTGATTGTTAAGCTTTGTAGATTCTGCTCCCAACATCCCTACAAGCCACTCCTTACGTAAACCATAATAACTTAATCGTAAATCAAAGAATTCTTTCAAAATGTCTTGCACAGTTTCATATTTCTTCAGACATCCCATATGATCAAAGAGTACCTAATAAGCAAAACACAAAATTTTTGAAGATTACATAAATCTGTACTGGTATTTTTAACTTATGTGACATCTACAGTATTTAAAATCATAATACACTTATTTAAACACACACTACCCCTAAAAGCCAAAACTACTAAGTACATTTCTGTAAATATTCCTTTAGTGACTCTAAGAAACTGATGAACTCAATTCTCAAAACTGTGAAAATATTTTAAATAAAAATATTTCTGAAAGATAAATATAGGTTCTTTAAAAAGGTTCTTACTTAATGTGGCTATAAAACCACCTAAGAAAAAAATGTTTCCAACTAAAAATAAACATATTTTATCTTTAACTTTAAAATTTTTAAATCTACAAGTCCTCCCTCCTATATACTCAATGCATGTGCATTTGCCTCTTTGTTTTTATAATTGTGCTATAATTCACCCAAACTTCCTCAATTATTTTTTTGAAATTTTATTTCTTCTCTATCCTTTTACTTCTTTTTTCCATCAGCTTTTCTTGACATTTTTTATGGCACTCTTTCTCAGACACTGTACAATTGCTGTATTTTTCTTTTACTCTTCTTTAAATCTAAAAGCTAATGGGAATGGATGGGGATGGGACAAGGGTAATCATAAATATTAACTTCTTATCTTCCTCTACAACTATATATAAACACAAATACACAAGTTTAATAGGGCAGATTGGAGTTATGAGGAGATAAGAACTTCATAATTAAAATGCTAATGGGACAGGCATAAGGCAGATGAAAAGCCTGCAACAATCACTCTCATAACTACCTTTTAGTCAGTATGTGCATCCTGAATGTTCAAGCACAGATGCACAAATGCACAGTTGGGATTAAGAGTAGTAGATAACATAGAGGAAAAGAAATAAATGTACAAAAAAATGTATGGGGGGAGAAGAGGGAAGTGTATTCAGAGTTAACTATAGCCACTCCCATCATGAAACCAATTACAAATATCCAACATATGGCATGCGAGAAAAGTTAAATTAATAGCAAATCTTAATAATTACCATGGAATTACAAGTAAGAGTAGTTTGAAGTTTAAAAACTTTGTGCAATCCAGCAGCTTCTGCTTGTGCTAGTTTCTCTTCAGTCATTTTCACCACAAATTTCACAGTTGTATCAGTATGATATTCTTTATAATCAGAAATTAATGCTGGTGTTTTATCTGTTCCATTTAGCATAGGTTCTAAAACCTGTTCTTTGTATACCTATAAAAGATTTAACAATAAGTAATGCTTTTCATGACACACTCATTCTCATACCACAAGACATGCAATTTTTTAAAAATTATCAGTTCCTGTGGGGGGTAGGGGGGAGGCAAACCTCCATCACTGTCATCTCATGCCCAGTCACTATAGAAGACAGTATATGGTCATCTCAATAGTGAAAGAAGATATGCAAGATAATGGTTCTGATCTGCTAATACTCCACAAGGCAAGGGAACCACTGAGGGTATAAAGACAATGAGGGAACTGTATTCAGAGTTAACTATATCAACTAGAACTGACAAGAGAAGACATGCATACCTTTAGATTTATAACAGTTGATAATGACATGAATATTGGCCATATTTATAAGGGTTCAAAACTATTTCTTACATACTCTTCTAGTCATTTCAAGATATACAAATAGTCTCTTTAAAGGGTAGCTTAAGCCTAGCTTTCCTAGTGGTTGAGCTTGGACCTATGAACCAGGAGGTTGAGGTTCGATTCCCGGTCAGGGCCTATGCCTGGGTTGCAGGCTTCATCCCCATTGTGGGGCATGCAGGAGACAACCAATCAATGACTCTCTCTCCTCATTGATGTTTCTAGCTCTCTGATCCTCTCCCTTCCTCTCTGAAATCAATAAGAATATTTTTTAAAAATCTAAATGTTGAATAACTTAAGCTAAGTTAAAAAAACTTTAAAATTACATTTAAATATTCAAAGCACAAATTCAATAGAATGGTTCAGAAATGTATACAGGAATTTTAAAACACTATACAGACTTAAGACAAAGATGGAATCATGCATATTCTTACCAGAAAGAACTACTTAATGCAATCCCTCTTTACAGACAGCTCACATACTTAAACTAACCTGTGTCCAAGTCCTAACTGGAAGCTCTGTAATCTCTACTGTGTTTCTATCCACCACAAAAATTTCACCACTGACTGCATATTGGTTCTGACCAAGTTCTTGGATGGTTCCTTTAAAGTTTTTGTAGTTTGGAAGCTGCAGAGAAAAATAAAAATAACTTAATGCTTTGACTTCTGTCCTATGTGCCAATACTACATTTGAATGCTTCGAAGTCTGTGGTCTACTGCTATTGACAGATAAACATGACTGAAACTCAATTCCTCATCCTCCTAGTCCCTCTCCAAATTTAAAAAAAAAAAAAAATCACTCAGTCTTGAATTCACAGCTTCTGTTAAAATAATCTATTCCCCAATTGCAAAACCTTAGAATCATCTTTCTTTGTCTTCCTAGAATAGTACTTTTTATCCCCTAGCTTATTGTCTCCACACCTCCTTTCCCCCTAGATTAATAACCCTTTCATTTCCAACTGCTTGGATATTATTTTGAAAGCCTTCCCCAGTCTTTACCCAATCTAACACTCTACCATTCCTCCAATGATTTGCCTTCCAGAGCACTACCCTTCTTCCACATTCGCTAGAATATTTTGAATATCCTTACTTTCACTCATTCTATCCAGCAGCCCTAACACATATTAAGCTCCACACACCCCATTCACTTATATAAATGTAACTCATCTTTCTCAGCCTAATTACAAGTGCTCTCTCTCCCTCTTTTAAAATCCATATTTGTTATATCACTAAGAAGTTGGGCATGTGGCACAGGACATTTCTTCTGGCACAATGAGCAACTATCTTTTGTCCCTGCAAACTTCATGCCCCAAAGTCTTGTGTTGACAACAGATTATCTTTTTGAAGACAGAGATCACAATTTTTTCTCTCACCACTTAGCACGTTATCTCAAAGATCAATAAATTGGTGAAACAGATCGGTAAGTAAGTAGATATATTAGGTACACAAGAAGCACTGGTCAAATACATGGACTAAAATACCCTAAAATGTATCTAAAAGGATGAAAATAAATGCTATAATCATAAAGTAGTTTGATGGCTTCTGTTATAAATATTTTGGCAATATAAAGTATTTAAGGTGGAAAACATTTTGGGTAAACCTGAGTAATCATACACATAATCTAATTTTTGTTTTCTTTTAAAATACAAAAATGAAATAAAACTTGGCGGGAAATACAATAAAATATTAAGTTTGATTCTCCATGGTGGGTTTATTAAGTACATTTCCCTCTTTGCTTATTTGTATTTTCTACAATGAGCACTACCATTTTGTAAGAAAAATACAATATAACCTTTACTTAAGTATCATGAGAAAAAGAAAATTTCCAGATGATTTTTAAATCATGTGGAAGAGTGATAGACACTTTCTTGAGAGGTTTCTCTTGAGTGGCGTTTTGGGAAAGAACTAAACACAGTGAATGGTATAGGGGCAAAATTTAAAAATATCAGGGGTACATTAAAATATATACAATGTGTTGTTAAGCATGGGTCAGTAGTTTAGAAATATATGCTAAAGTTACATAACTTTGTCATAAAAACATTATTCTCTATATACTTTAGATACGAAAGCCTGAAATACTGAGTATTTGTATATTTCAATAGTGTTTCCCCATAAGCCTTATCTCTAGGTCCAGGCTTTTTCCAGCTTGTATCTTTTACAATAAGCAAATATCAAATTGTATACTAATAAAGTAGTTATTGTCTATAATATGTTCTAAAATAAAAATGGTTCCATTACTTTTTTAAAATGACTGGACTTTGTAGTTTACACGTTGTTTTTTTAAATAAACAATATAAGCAACAAATTCTAAATAATTACCATGGGATGAGGATCCAAGCCATCTAGCATTCTTCTGACATTGTTTACAATTTCTCTAGCATCGTAATTGGGTAGTTTACAAGCCCATCCAGTACCAATGCCCTCAGCACCATTTATTAAAACCATAGGAATTATGGGAATATACCACTCAGGCTCTACCCGTTGATTGTCATCATAAAGGAACTTAAGCAGGTTGTCATCTACAATAGGAAAAAGCCGTCTTGCTAAAGAGCTAATAAAAGAGAAAAAATATATGGAAAAAATGTCATGGTTTTTGGAAATAAAATTGTATACATAATTAAAAACTACATTTCAAAAAAATATTTTTAAAAGAGTGCATTTTTAAAATTTTGATAACACGTGCTTCACAGTAAAACTGACCTAGCCTTATTACCAAATATATTTCTCTGAGGCATAAAGCTAGAATAAGATAACCCAATTTTACTTCCATACTTACCTACCTAAATTCTTAGTATTGATAAATAACTTTTTAAGAATTTCCTCTTACTCTGTCTAAATCACAAAACCCATCTTCAGCCTAAAAAGTGAAGTTTTGAGTGCTCACTTCGGCAGCACATATACTAAAAGTGAAGTTTTGGGTCAGAAAAATCCTTACATTCATTAAGACTGGTTTCACCAATAATTCATAAAAATTTATATCAACAAACTTCCTTCTATTTACTATCAAATAATTTAAAATATTTAACCTCAACAGAATCCCCATTGATACTTCTCCATAGTTACAATTCTATTAACCATTTAGTAAGTTCCAATAAACTTCAAATAGAACTTGATACCACTATATCAGCAAACTGTTACCTTAACATTGTGAAAATGTAACGAGGGCTTGCAGCATCTTTGCCACCATGTAGCCGAGTTCCAAACTGACCAATAGGCTGAAGCAAGTTAATGTTGTTACTTCCCACAAAGTTCTGAGCCAAATTCACAATAGTCATCATCAATGCTTGCTATAGAATAGAAACAGAACATAATATTAATGTTCTAAACTTTAATTCGCTGTAAGTATTCCCTAATTTTAATTAAAATCCAAACTCAATTCTTTTACATTTTCAAAGACCTTATAAAAGAAAAAATACTTCATTATGCTTCATTGTCATTCTTCATGTCTGTAAGCATAGTTCTCAATTGATTCCAAATTTAATTCTTACTTCTCCATGATGATAAGCAGACATCTCAGCAACAGATCCAGCCAACTGGGCAACTTTTACTTCACGTTTGTCATTCCTTTTGAAACAGGTAAATAAAACTTTTCGTTGGCCTGGTTTAAAGCCTATTTAAAAAAAATAATCCTCTTTTAAAAATATTACCGAAAATATAGTTGTAATGTTTCTTTTAGTGACAAAAATGTCCTATATATTCAAGAAAGAAAAGGAAAGATAGAGTTTGTTTTTGAAAAAGTACTGACTAAAAATAATTGAGATTCTATAACAAAGTGGAATATAAACTAACATGTTTTGATATCATTTCAATCTATTCCAAAAATGAAGTACCAATTGAAAGACCACCTTTTGGTCTTAAACTGCTCAGTAGCACTAAGCTTCTTTCATAGGAAATGCCAAACACCCACATATCCAAAATGGCAGTTGTAATTAAAGGAGCACCAAACCATCAATAAGTCTGAAACTATTATTCGAGTATCCCAAATCAGGATAGCCCTTACAAATGAGAGATGTATGTGGTAGTTAAGAATGCAGGGTTTAGATTCTTACTAATCTGAATACTCTTCTTAACTAGGCCATTTATCATGTGCCTTTGCACAAATTACTAACCCAGTAAACTCAGTGTCCTCATCAGTGTACTAAAAATAATTACCTTCCTAATAGGGTGATCATAAGGATTACATTAAGATAATGCAAGCAAAGCTCTCTGCTTCCTTATCATTCTTCTTGTTCTAGACCAATGAGCACAATAACAAATTTTCAGTATATGCTAGCTATCATCATCATCATCATCATGGGCCCGAAGCATTGTAGAAACAAGAGGATAATAAACATGGTCCCTTTCCTTCAGAATTTTATAATCTAACTGAGAAGGCAAAATTAACACAAATAAAATAATAGGCACAAAATTACTGACACAGTTTAGGCATCTGAGACCAGTTTAGACTAAAATTGTTAGGGAAGACGTCATAGAAGGGATATAACTTAAAGCTAGAACTAGATGGACAGGTACAATCATCTGCTATTAGTTGAAAAACCAAGGAACACAAAGATCAACTAACTTGCTAAAAGTTATATAATGAAAATTAACAAGTGCTAGATAGAAGACCAAAATGTGCCGAAACTGGTTTGGCTCAGTGGATGGACCGTCGGCCTGCAGACTGAAGGGTCCCAGGTTCAATTCCGGTCAAGGGCATGTTCCTGGGTTGTGGGCACATCCCCAATAGGGGGTGTGCAGGAGGCAGCTGATCGATGTTTCTCTCTCATTGATGTTTCTAACTCTCTATCTCTCTCCCTTCCTCTCTGTAAAAAATCAATAAAATATATATTTTTTAAAAAAAGACCAAAATGTGCTCTAATCACAAGGTAGTTTATAAAGTTTTATTTTGTTAAGTAAAATAAGTTAAAGTATTGAAATCTAAAGGCGTTTTTAAAATGTAGTCTCTGATAAATATTTTAGAACTTATCAAAATCCCATTTTACTATTTATTTTAGGAAGTCTGCAATCAACTTGGGTCAAGGGCTTTTAAAATTTGCCATAAGTTAATTCTCCTGAAAAAATTCAAAAAGGGTTTTAAAATATTCAAATTAAGAAATATAAAATATTTCAGTCCTATGAAAATATTTCTAAAACAATTTATGGATTTTAAGATTTATTATTGAGATGACTTAAAGCATATGAAATTAAGTTATACTCAATAATGTACAAAAATGAGAAAAAATTTGAAATGACAGCTACTTACCATCAACAAGAGATGGTATAGACCTTTCATTGTCTGAGTTTGAGAAGAGAATCAATTCTTTGTTGATGAAATCATTGTATGTCAAATGCTTTGTTGCTGTGCCATATAAAAATTGCTAAGAAAAAAGTTATATAGTAATATTATCATTATGACTATATCAGTTTTAGTCTCTTTCTTCCCCCAGATCACCACTCCGTATGACTAACCTCTGGTAATCCATGTAACCTACGCTGTCTCCGATCTTCCATAAAATTTGTTAACCATTCTTTTCTGTCATCAATCTTCTTTTTACTGAATGCCTGAAAGATTCCAGGAAATTATTTCACATACTACAAAATAATTTCATTATAAAATTAAAAGTTATAAAGGCAAAAAACATTAATTTCTGGGAAATTTGGTTTTTCCAATATGCTTTTAATCAAAAATATACTTGAACAGAGGTTTTTCAATGAAAGAACTATGAAAACAGGGCATAATCAGGGGCATAGGTATGAGAAAAACACTAAAATTGATGAGTTTGGGCTTTAGAATTCAAAAGAGACTGATTGTAGAAAACCCAGACTGGGAAGAAAGGTATAGGAGGTAGGTGGATGGATATGAGAACAGACTTCTTAAAATTTGCTTTATTACCAACGTAATGGCAGCATCATCCTCAGGCCCAGCATATCTAAACAAGATGCGGTGCCTTTCCATATCAGCAAAATATTCCTTTGCTTCTTTAGCTGTACTGGTACCCAACCCTGCACAATTTAAAAAATAAAAATGAAAATAAGCGAGACAAAGACAAATACTGTATAATATCACTTAAATGTGGAAACCAAAAAAATGTAGAACTCAAAGAGAGAAGAGATGGTGGTTTTTAGAGGCTTGGGAAGTGGGGAAAAGTGAAATGTCTATCAAAGAATACAAACTTGCAGTTATAAGATGTTAACTTCTGGGGATCTAATGAACATCATGTTGCCTATTATTAACTAGAGGTCCAGTGCACAAAATTCATGCACAGGTAGGGTCCCTAGGCCTGGCTGGCGATCAGGGCTGATCAGGGCCTTCCTTCATTCCGCGCCCTCCCCCTCCCCGCCCCCCCCGGTGGTCAGCGCACATCATGGTGAGCAGTCGAACTCCTGGTCAGTTGAACTCCCGAGGGGACAATTTGCATATTAACCTTTTATTATATAGGATAGTGCTATACTGTATACTTGAAAATTGCTGAGAGTAGATGTTAAATGTCCTAAAAAAAGAAGGGTAACTATATGAGGTGATGGATATGTATATGTATATCAACTCATCATGTTGTATACCTTAAATACATAAATTTTTATTTGTCAGTTATATCTCAAAAAAGGTGAAAAATATTTTAAGTGAATCATGAACATCAATGGTTATTTAAAACCATTATGTGAAAAGCTAATGGATCAAACTGGCAACACCTGGACCAACTGATTAATTTTTGGGGAAAAAGAAAGACAAGCCATATATTACATGCCCCTAACATAAGTATACAACACCGCCTATTAAATGTTTTTGCTACATAAATCTAATCTTCATCTGATCGAGCCTCCAATGTATTACCAGTTATCATAGAATAAGGGGCAGAGAAACATGCTACATATTTAAGGAAACTATAGGAATGCTCAGCAAAATACAGAATGTAAAATTATACAGGACAAAAAAATCCAACTTTTTGAACAAATAAAGTACAAGAAAAAATATAAAAAGAGAAACAATACACTAAGATTTTAGAAACTTATCAACCAGACGTAATGTGTGAACCTTGTTTGGACATTGACTCAAAAAATAAACAAAACAAAACATTATAAACATTTGTTTTACAAGCAGGAGAATTTTAACACTGACTATTTTAAGTTATTAAAAAAAGATATGAAAATGGTATTAAGGACTTTTAAAAAAACTCTTTAAGTGATACATATTAAAGTATTATAGGATAATATCTGGAAATTATTCCAAACTAATAGGATGGCAATGAGAAGAGTTTAGATAAAACAAGATTGACCATGAAATGGTGATTGTTGAAGTACATAGGAAGTCCATTATACTATTCTTTATACTTTATAAAATTTTCCTTAACAATTATTTAAAAATCAGCAACAGCTAATTTTAAAGTCTAAAAGAGACAAAATTTCAAAATATTTTATAACACTTTAATAACATACATTTATGTCACTAGTTATTTTAAATTTTTTAAATATTTTAAAATACAAACCTTTGTAGTATTTTATTTTCCAGGCTTTCTGGTTTTCTATATGTTTTTTCCACTCATCAAATTCAGGAATACTGTAGAAGGAAAGTTCTTGCTTATTTTTGCTTGCCTTAAATTAATAAAAAAAAAAATTAGTTTTTCTGCTACCCTTTAAAAGCCAGGGGTCCTCAAACTACGGCCCGCGGGCCACATGCAAATACAAATATTGTATTTGTTCCCGTTTTGTTTTTTTACTTCAAAATAAGATATGTACAGTGTGCATACGAATTTGTTCATAGTTTTTTTTTTAAACTATAGTCCGGCCCTCCAACGGTCTGAGGGACAGTGAACTGGCCCCCTGTTTAAAAAGTTTGAGGACCCCTGCTTTAAGCAAACAGTATAAAAACATATTAATGTAAGTAGTACCTTTACAATTGGAGTAATGAACTCTTCAAGAAAACCATGCTTCAGAAGTGATGGCCAATTGTGGTGGATGAAATTAATAAGCAGGCCTTTTATGTGAGAACCATCTTGATCCTAAATAAATATCAGTAAAGAGAGCTATAATAGTTTTATGAAATATAATTACTTATATGATCAAATTTTTAAATATCTGAATGCAGCAAAGCAAAATTCCATTGAAATAGTTTAACCAGATATCACTAAAAGACGGATTTAAGAATGGAAAGACAATAAACATGGTTATAATGCAACTTCACTAGGCAATGTCCATGGAGAACAGGTATTCACAAGTCTTCTTTTGACATAAAAACTACTTAACACTATAAGCAGCTTTTTTAGTTGAAGATTTTTCTGTACAAATGCTTTTCATTAGAGGGCATAAGAGAAAAGCAGCTGGATACATATGAATTTCATACTTTTCAATTTTCTAGTTCTTCCCCAGTTACTGCCATTTTACTATTCAATCCTCCTAGTATTTGTGCATCAAAAATTAAGCATCATATAGAAATATTAATCATTATCCTATTTACTCTTTCATTTTCTTTCTAAGTACAGGTATGCTTCAACACCTTAATACTACAGTGTGTGTTCTACTCTTCTCACATTTATTATATTTTAAAACATTTTTATAATAACTAACCAAAAAAATGGTTACTCATAAATTAGACAATGTAAAATGTGCTTCACACAAACAGTGCCATTAAACAATGTTTTCTTCCCCATTGATGTACAATCACTTTCACTTGTACTATCTTGGAGTAAGTCTCATAAAACAAACATTGAAAGGACAATCTGAAAAAGATGAGTTTTAAATATGTGGCAATTTTTAAACTAACCTGATCAGTCATAATCATAATCTTTCCATAACGTAAAGTTTTCAGAGATTCTGCATCATCATAACTTTTCTTGTATTGTAGACCAACTATTTTAATAATATTATTTATTTCTGCATTTTCCATGATCTGTACATAAAGAAAAGGAATTGAAAGTATTTTACATTTAAAAATTCAATAATTTTAGTAAAGTATGAAAATGCCATATATGTGTATGTGTGTGTGTGTATATATATATATATATACACACATATATATGCAAACATATACCTGTTTATGAGAAGCTTCCCGTACGTTAAGAATTTTTCCCCTGAGTGGAAAGACTCCATATCTGTCTCGCCCAATCACACCTAGTCCAGACACAGCCAATGATTTCGCAGAGTCTCCCTCTGTTAGTATCAGTGTACACTCCAGGGAATGTTTGCCACCTAGAGAAATTTAGAAAGACATATACTCCACATTCCTCAATTTTACTAATGAGAAAAATGAAGCCAGAAAACTTAATAATCGCAATGATGATAGTGAAAGACTGTAACAATCATCTTACATTATGCTTAGAATAGTTTAAATGTTGTATACTTTATTGAATTCCTACCCCCTGAAAATCAGTAATATGTGGTGCATGTAGCAATTTTAATGAAGTGAAATTATACTCTGAACATAAAATCCTACTGTCTAACTGTATGTGGAAAATGAAAATATAACTGGACAAATAAAAACTTAAATATATATACATATATATATATATTTTAATCTAAATCTTACCAGCATCGTTTGCATCATCCAATTTAGGAATACCTTTGATTTTACTATACTTTACTGATGAACACTTCTTGTTCAGCTGAGTCTGAGCCTTAAATTTCACCCAGTTCAGGATACTTTCTACAATGCCACAATTAGAGGCCTAAAAATGAAAGCATAATGAATGATATACAAACAAGCCAGAAGTTCATACACTTACCTAAAATGAACGTAATACTTGTTACCCTATGCAGTTATAGGGCAAAACAATAACAATGATAATTGTTTGCACTAGTAAATTTTATTCTAACTACAGTAAAACTAACTCTGGCAGTTACTATACTGAAATATAAAAGCATGAAGAAAAGATTTTACTAGATATGAAAAAATTATATTCTAATAAACTCCATGAGAAATATACATAGCTTTTCTCACAAGTTCATTTTGCTAAAATTAACACAGTTAAGCTGATCCACCCTTGAATTTACCAGCTTGTAAATTCTGTTCACTGACATTTCTGATATCTGTCAATACAAAAATGTGAATCTTGAATTCACTATGACAAAAAATATTAACATAAAGGAAACATTAGGATAAATTCAAGAACTTATGAATAGTTCTTATTCTTTAAAAAGTTTGATAATGAGCATTTCAACATTGTAAATAGTGTGTCACTCAGCAGTTAATCAACATGTGACCACATGTTTACCAAAAAGAAAATAAAGTGAAGCAGCTCCAAGTGGAGTTATTTTTTTATCATCCTGGGTAGTTTGATTTTAGGTGTACAGAAGAGTTTTTTGGAATGTTTGAGATATAAAAGAGGTGAAGTATATTGCCAAATTTAAACTTAATCTTCCAAAAATGAAAAAGTAGAAAATCTAAAATCAAATCAGTTCAAAATGAGAACTTTTATGAGAGCACAAATTTGGGAAAGCATTAACATAAGGTCATTTGTATTCTGCATCGATTATGAACAGAATTAAAAGTACTATTTTCATAGGCCTTCAGCTATATTCTAAATTTGTTATTGTTTGTGAGAACCTACCTTTAAAATTCTGATAATGGAATTTGATAAGTATGTTACCACTACCACACTTATTCCTCCACCAAATTATAAATTTCCAAAGAAGAACTATCATTTATTCATCTTTACATTCCTAGTGCAAACATATTTAAAGGAACTTTATATATGTTTATTAATATGTTTTTGAGGGTACTGCTGAATAAGGGAACTGAGGCAAATCTTACTTATAAATAACAGATTATGAGAGGCTATTAGCAGTCGCAAATCTTGGTTATAAATCTAAGATTCATTATTTATTTGTATTCTCACCTTATATCAGAAAGGTTAAAGCAGCCTAAATAATTATGTGCTAAGTAAAATAATTTTAAAATATGTAGAATATAAAAAATTCTGTTATACATATGTTATCACAATTTTTAAAAAAAACAACTACACAATAGTAAATATCTAAACATAAAGTTGAAATGAATAAAAAGATTGAAATCAGAAGTCCTAACAGGACCTGAACACCTATTGGGGGAATATCTGGCTTTATAATGACCAAAGCAAAGCTACAAACACAATTAATTAAAAGATTACCTATTTCAATTCTTGGCAAAATAACCAATTGTTTAACAAAATAAAGTTTACCCTTTGAAGTTTACAGAATTAAGTGTATTAGTTTGTAGTATATGCCTATATCTAGTTAATATAAGAAACTAATCACAAATAAAATAAAGAAAACTACTTAACTTTCAATAAAAACACACTGAAAAATAATACAAGTTTTACTCACTGCTTTGAAAAATTTTTCTGACAGTTGGCATTTGGACCCAAAACTTTTGGGTTGCAAAGTCATGTTTTCCTTAGTCTGAGAATCAAAAGTTGGGTTTTCGATAAGGCAATTAATAAAAACCCATATATGGTTTTTTACCTGTTGAAAACATACCAAAAAAATAAGTCAACATCAGAACTGGTACTATTTACTACTTCAACAGAATACTACAGCATCACTTACTTGAAATGGTTTCACTGATACACCAGCTTTGTTCTTTTTCTTGACTACTTCGATCAGTTTACCAACAACTTGATCTACTACATAATCCACATGCCGTCCACCCTAAAAAGAAAAAAAAATACAAAATCTTCTATAGTAAGGTAGCAAAATACTTACATATTCCTTTTTTCTAAAATGAGTGTTTATCTTTACAACTTTGTGCAGTCAGTATTATTAAACCCATTTTCCAGAGTAGTAATATGAGTGTCAGAATAGCAGAGTTGGGATTTAAAAAATAAGGTCTCTTTGGCCATATAATCAATTAGCCAATTTTATACAAAGCAAAAACAATTTAAAAAAAAAAACTGACATGGAAGTGAGAATGAATACTGGGGGTGATAAATGACACAATAGTTAAACTTAGGGACTGTGGCAAGCATTACCAGTTGTCCATGCAATATCCATTTCCTCATTTTACTTTATTGACAAATCCAAATTTGTTTTTAACTGGCAACATGCCCAATTACAAAGATTCTCCAATCTGGACTCCTTGCAGCTAGAGGTACCCACATGACACGGTTCTAGCCAAAGATGTTAGGAGAGGTCTACTGGATGGGGCTTCCGGAAAAACTATTCTGTTATACATATGTTATCACAATTTAAAAAGGGAGAAATTTAGTTGGCATATGCATTTTCCCAACCTAATTCTCTCTCCCTAGGACTTAGAAATGAGGCATGGAAGTGCAGCAGGCAACTTAAAAGGCATGAGAAAAAAAGCCATATGCTAAAGGTGGCAGGAAAGAAAGCCAGGGAAAGCATAGGTCCCTAATGACACTATGGAGTCATAGTACTGAATTAAGACTGCCTACCCTTGGTTCTTAGATATGAGAGGAAAAGTAAAACTTTTACATGTTTACATTAGGTTTCTATTACATATAATAAAATAAAATCATAATGAATGCAGGATTTTTGTTGACTAGAGAAAGTGATAACTAGATTATTAAAAAATTGAACATTAAAAATGTTAAAACCTGAAGAAGAGTGACAAAGTGATAAAACAGTACTTTAGGTTATTCTAGGGATACATGTTTGTTTGTATTGCATAATAATACTTTACTCTGGTCATGGATAGATGCTTTTAAATAGGAAGAATTTCATTGATTTTTTAAATCAAAAAACCTAAAGAAGAGGGTTTAAACTCCATAGAATGACCATCCTAAACATACTCATCTCCTATTAGTCTTTCTTCTACATCTTAAACTCAGAACACAGTATAAGGAATTTATCATTGTAAATTTCATAAAATATAAATGTAGTCAACTTTAAACATTAATAGTATAAACTTATTTCTCAATGGATGTTAAATTATAAGACAGCTATTTTACAGAAAATAAACTTTCATTTTCATAAGTCAATTCTGATTTCACCAAAGCAGATTTGGAGTGGTTTTTTTGCTGTTGTTGTTATTGATCTTGTTGTTTTTAATGAAGCATTGTTCTACCACTTACTTAGAAATAAAAGATAATTAACATATTATACTTACTTTTGTTGTTGCAATGCTATTTACAAAGCTTATTTGCTGGAATCCTTTTTCACTCAATGTAAGACAAACATCCCATCTTTCATTTGCAAGTTCATGAATAACTTTCAGGGCCACTCCAGTTTCATCCAATTTGTCTTTCACATAAAGATCTACATAACTGCGAAATCCATTTACCTATTAATTTGAAAAACAATAACAATAAACAATCTAATATTGGCAGCTCAACTAGGTGAATGCCATCCGGTACTCTCAAACTTTCATTTCCCTTACTTCACAACAGCTTATGTGGCAGATCCAAACCTTCATGACTTTCCCCTATTCTACTCCTTGATCCCTATCCTCAAAAAAAATCAATTAATTCTCTATTTACTTGATAAAGAAAGGTTATGAATGGATAGCTGAACTGGTAAATTATTATAAAATCTTTCAAAAGTTTAAGTTTTTTAAAATAACAAAGTAGACTTCCACTTTGAGTTCAGACATGGAAGAGGGCTGGAAAAAAAGAAAAAGAATAAGCTTGTGCCCTTATAAAGAACTGGTCAGACAAACTGATATTTTATAAACCCTCAAAAAATTGAGATCACAGACCATCTGGCCATCCTGAGCCTGAAGAGAGTTAGGAGTCTGTAGGAGACACAGAACTGAAACATTTGCTTAACTAGGGCAGAAGCTGCCTGCTGTCATATAAGCCAGAAGGAACATTAAACCAGAAATTTTGACAAATTGCTATAGGACAAGTGTGGACTAGTATGTGTGTGTGAATCCCCTGAGGGCTATATTATAAAGGGTTCCTACTCTTTTGCAGGCTTTTCCTCCAGGAACACCCACAAATTCTCACAGGAAAGAGAGAATCTAAAAAAAAAAAGTTCCCCCAATGGTGCTAGCTAGGGGAGGAAAGCAGGAACCACTGGGAATTCCACCCAGACCATTTCCCTTACCAATAAAACCTTAATTTGCCAGGGGAAGGATACTGCTAGAGAGCATTGGCAAAATATCACTGTAGCTGGAATGAAGTCATTCTGCCCTGCCTTACCCCATCCCACCCCTTAATCATTTAAGTTTTGGTTTTTTAAAGGCATTCTGCAGAGCAGGAAGCCTCAAGAATACTGAATGAGAATACTGACAGATACCTGCTGCAACTAGGGAAAAGAATAGAGGGCAAAGGAAAAATCTCTGCCTCTAGAAGAGGAATAGACATATTTGTAACGGCTAAATACACAGGCCATTGTGTACTCCAATCTGAAACTTTATCAGACATAAGTAACCTACTACCATGCTAACAGGCCTCCAATAATAATAGTGGGTTTCAGCTGGCAGAGCTATAAGAGACAGAGCCTCCTTGAGGGGCAGCTCAAAAGGAAGGCCCAAATCAAAGAGAAAAAAACAAGAACAAGGAAGAATTTGAAATCTCTGTTGCTTATAGCAACAACAAACCTCAACACCAGTAACTACAACAACAAACTGCAAACACATCCCATTTCCTATATAAATTAACATAAATCCTCATACTAAAGCTTATTCACTCCATATCTACACTATACAACATAGCTGTTTTTCTACAAAAACTTATAAGGCATGCCAAAAGGCAAGAAAAAACAATCTGAAAAGGTAAAGCAATCACCAGAATCAAACTCAGATTATGTCACAGGTATTTTAACTACCAGATAGGGCATTTAAAATAACTATGATTCATATGTTAAAGGCTCTAATGGAGAAGGGTAGGCAACATGCAACTTTAGCAGAGAGATGGATGCTGTAAGGAAGTATCAAATGGAAATGCCAGGAATTAAAAACAGAAGACATAGAGAATGCCTTCAGCAGGCTCATCGTAAACTTGACACAATAAAGAAAAAAATCATTAAAATTAAGAGGGCATAAAGTAATTAAAATACCACTTCATCTTAAAAAAATAGGGCAATAGAACTTAAAAAACTGAAACACAAAGAAAAAGAATGAAGAAAGCAGAGCAAAACATCCAAGAGCTTAGAACAATACCAAGTAGTATAACATGTGCATAAATGAAATACCAGAAGAAAACGAAAAAACAGCACAAAAGAAATATTGGGAGAAATAATGGCCAAAATTTTCCAAGATCAGTAACAGACAATAAACACCAAACGAAATAAATGCAAACACACACACACACACACACAAACCCATATACACACCTAAGCATATCATACTCAAAGAAAACAAAGACAAAGAGAAAATCTTCAAGGCAGCCAGAGGAAAATGAAACACCTTACCAACAGAGGAAGAAGGATATGAACTACAGCAGACTTCTCATCAGAAACCATGCAAGCAAGAAGACAACAGAGTGACATCTTTAAGTATTGAAAGAAAAAGAAATGTCAACCCCAAATTCTGTATCCTGTGAAATTTCTATTGTCTTTGAAAGTGAAGGGAAACAAAAACTCTCAGACAAACATAACCTGAGAGAACTTATTACCAGCAAAAATGCCCTACAAAAATGCTAAAGGAAGATCACCAGGCAAAAGGAATGTGATTAAAATCAGAAACTTAAATCTACGCCAAGAAATTAAGAGCACTGGAAATGGAGTGAATGTAGGTATTATTTTTAATTTCTCTAAGAGATAACTGAATGCTTAAAGCATTAACAATGACGTCACTAACTGTGAAAATTTTCTGCAATCATTTTCTCAAATGTTTCTTCTGCCTCGTTGTCATTCTTCTGGTATTTATAGCATGTGTAAAAATGAAATGTATGATGGTAATGACACAAGAAATGGGAGGAAGATTCTGAAGATACACTGTTAGAAAGTCCTTTCACTAAACATTAAGTGATCAATTATTTGAGGGTAGACTCAAAGTATTTACAAATGAAATTGTAAAACCTAGGGCAAACACTAAAAAAGTTTTAAAAAGATGTATAACTAAACAGAGGTGATAAAATGGAATCATTAAAAAATGCTCAATTAAAACCAGAGAAGGTTGAATAAAAGGAATTAAGAAACAAAGAACAAATACAATGAATAGAAAACAGCTAGCAAGATGTTTTAATCCAAATATATCAATAATCAGTTTAAATTGAATCACTGAAATATACCAGTTAAAAGAAAAAGGTAATGATATTAGATTTTAAAACTATAAGATATCTACAAAATAACAAAGCATTAACTATTTTAGAAGATACTTACAGGCAATTTCTTTCCATTAAACATGACCTTGACCCCTTTGCATGAACCAGCCAAATCATAAGCTCTTCTGGTCATGAGGGCCACAATATCCTTGTCAAGTTTTTCCATCTTAAATTTGGACAGATCTGGTTGGAATGTTATGCATGTGTAATCTTCACCATCAAAATGTTTAATTTTGGCTTCAGATGTCTTCATCATATTATTCATCCATGTCTTTAAAAGAAAATACATTCAAATATTTCTATGTTTCTATATTTTATAATACGTAAAGACTCAGCTCATGAAATACAATTACCACAACTATATACATTTTTCAGCCCATCAACAAACCTAACAAATCTTTGAGCCTGATATTAAAGATTAAAAATTTTTAAATATTATTATAACAATCTCATGTTGAAAATAACCAAAATAAATTGCACAACTTGATACATAGTTAATAAAATATCCTAAGTTTTTCATCACGACTATATAGAATTTTACAAAAATAAGGTATTATGCTTGACTGAGAAATTTATTTACCTTATGTAAAATTGCACTCTATTTTCAAAGGCATACAAGAGTAAAATAAAATTTTAAAATATTAATTTCATGAGTAACTAGAGGCCCAATGCACAAGATTCATGCAAGAGTAGGCCTTCCCTCCCCGAGCTGCTGGCACCAGCTTCCCTCTGGCACCCAGGATCCAGGCTTCCCTCATAGCCCCAGCTTCGTCCGGAAGGTCGTCCAGAAGGACATCCGGTCTAATTAGCATATTACGCTTTTATTATTATAGATGAGGAAGTTTTAAACATCCAAAGTGGATATATTTCAATTACCTTTGAAGTTCAGGGCATTTTCACTAAAGCTTTACAATGTTCAAAGAAAAGTCTGTTAAAACATTTTATTTTAAGGGAATAGGAGAAAGACAGGCTTATATAAAATCTCCCAGACATTCTAAAGTCTTTTACACTATGATGACATGCTTAACACTTAAGAGTGTGTGTGTGTGTGTGTGTGTGTGTGATTGCAATTTACCTAAGGTATTATCTTAGCAAAGCAACAAAGCATGATTATTTTTAAAAAGCAATTAGATACATATTTATCATACCTGTTTAAAACTATGTTTGTATTCTTTGCAAGCAGTTTCTACTGTAAACTTTGTACTGAAAATATTACAAAGTTTTGCACCATAACCATTTCGACCACCTGTAAGAACAATTAAATGTGAAAGGTTTAAAGAAAATGATGTTAAAGAACTTTAACTTACCTACCAAAGGACAGGTCTGTTGCAGTGAGTTTTACTTACTGCACTACCTTAACTATCATCAACTGAATAGTTCAGAATACAAACTTTTTCATTTAAAGAAAATTACAATTAAAATTTAGCATATATATAATTAAAGTATGTATTTTGTACATTCATTATCTTCATCAAACTTTTCTAAAGTAAGCTTGGTTATCTCCTATAATCCAGTAAATATATGAGTATGAAATTTAAACTTTCTATTGAAGTCACTTCTCTATTACAAATTTTTAGTCTTTGGTTTTAAACACACAAAAGAAAACAGTATCAACCTACTCGGTTAACATAATAAGACAACATTTGGTTGGTCAAAGCATTTTCAACTCTATTTACAGAGTCTAATTTTCAATCTTCACTCTCTTAAAGAAAACAGTTTAAAAGTAATTTAACTGATACCAAAAGACATAGTGTTTATGCAATACCAAGCTCTCATATATAGGAATCACACATCTTACTTTCATCAGTAATTCAAAACTCAATCTGTCATCCTGGTTAGAGTTTCGGGAATTCTAACATAAATCAATGTACTATAAATTAAGCTTTCAAAGTATCTGGCAGGGTATAATCAAGATAATACTTATACAGGATAGTTTTTCATAGATATTAATTCTGAAAAGAATTTTTCTCACAACAAAACTACACAGGTTTCCTCTTCTGTAATATTTTATATAGGAATAATAAGAGCTTTATGTTGAGAGCAATATTTTTTAATAAAATATCTAGCCAGCCATTTAGACTTTCTTTACCTGTTACTTTTTTCTCATCATCGTCATAGTTACTGGATGTTAAAAGCTGTCCAAAAATTAATGCAGGAACATAAACCTTCTCTACTTTATGTTCTACTACTGGAATGCCTTTCCCATTATTCCAAATGCTTATAATGTTAGATTCACTGTAAATAAACAAACAGAGATTAGGGCTTAAATAGTTTAAAAACATTTATTTCCATCAAAAGTAAAGTAATACAGAATAGCCCCAACCAGTATCGTTAGTGGATAGAGCAGCGGCCATGGACTGAAGAGTCCCAGATTCAATTCCGGTCAAGGGCACATACCTCGGCTGCAGGCTCATCCCCAGCCCTGGTCGAGGCCCATGGAAGGCAACCAATTGATGTGTCTCTTTCACATCAATGTTTCTCTCTCTGTTTCTCCCCTTCCTTTCCACTCTCTCTAAAAATCGATGGAAAAATATCCTCAGATGAGGATTAACAAAAAAAAGAAAAAAAAACAGAATAAACCTGATTATGAGCAAAACATCAGTCATTACTAATTGAAAGACACTCACTCATCTTTCCAGAACATACTTACTGAGGACACACATTTGTATCCCTGAAGTTATAACTCTAATTAGGATCACTAAGATCTGCAAGTAACAGTGCAAAATTTCTCAGGAAAAGAAGCTCTTCTCCAAAAAAAACAGTAAAAAGCAGTGAAGCTTTTACCGTAAGAGGTCAGCCAGAGATTCCGTTTCTTTTAACACTAGAGGCCCGATGCATGAGATTTGTGCCCTGGGGTTCCCTCAGCCCAACCTGTGCCCTCTTGCAGTCCGGGACCCCTGGGGAGACATCCCTCTTGCAGTCCGGGGCTCTCGCAGTCAAGACCCCTGGCTCCTTACCACACGCCTGCAGCAGAGGTGGGAGAGGCTCCCGCCACCGCTCCTGCGCTCTCCAGCCCTCAGCCTGGTTCTGGCTGAGCAGTGCTCCCCCTTTGGGAGAGCACTGACCAACAGGGGTCAGCTTCTGCATTGAGTGTCTGCCCCCTGGTGGTCAGTGCACATCATAGCGACCAGTTTTCTGCCATTCAGTCAATTTGTGTATTACACTTTTATATAGGATATAGGATAAATTAGCCATGATCTTCCTGCTTCATTCTACCAGTATACCACTTGTAAACCACAAGCTCTGAAAAGCCAGCAGCCATAGTCATTTTCATTTTATACCTAACTACTGTAGCTGTACAGATGAAAATAGGATGGGCAGCTTGAACTGTATTCCATTCTGTTGCTAAATATTAGAAAGCTGTTTGTATTGTGGCAATCATTGTCATAAACTAATTTTAGTGGTTTTATAATATGTAGATATTACCAATTTTAGGTCTTTTTAGATTTTTCTATCACAAAAAACTATACATTTTAGCCCTGAATTGTATAGATAGAATAGAGCAGTAATGGCGAACCTGTTGAGCTCAGCGTGTCAGCATTTTGAAAAACCCTTACTTAACTCTGGTGCCGTGTCACATATAGAAATTTTTTGATATTTGCAACCATAGTAAAACAAAGACTTATATTTTTGATATGTATTTTAAATATTTAAATGTGATTTAACAAAGAAAAATCAACCAAAAAAAATGAGTTCGCGTGTCACCTCTGACACGCATGTCACAGGTTCACCATCACTGGAATAGAGGATCCTATAGCTAACAAAAGCTCATACAGGCAATAGTCCTGATGGAAAATTTTGCCACCCTGTTTTCTTGTGTCTTGTCGTTTTTTTAATGTTTCATTGGTTTCAGAGAGAAAAGGGGAGAGCGAGAGAGACACAGAAACATCAATGATGAGAATCATTGATTGGCTGACTGCTGCCTCCCATATGCCCCCTACTGAGGATCAAACCTGCAACCTGGCATGTGCCCCCACCAGTAATAGAACCATGACCTCCTGGTTCATGGGTTGACACTCAACCACGGAGCCACACCAGCCGGGCAGCCTACCCTGTTGTTTTGAGTAGCATATACTATGATTCCTTTACCCATGTAAGATCCAAATTTGCAAAAAAAACTATCTTCATAATCAACACTGACAATTGGCTTTTTAAAAAAGCTACCGTTTGCCAATCTGAGTCAGAATTATTCACTGTGTCATGTATATATACATAACTTCATCTCTTAATAGTTATTAGAAATTATTGTAACTTAAAAAATCTATATATATAAAAGCCTAAGCAACTGTTCGACCAGTAGCTATGACGCGCACTGACCACCAGGGGGCAGATGCTCAATGCACCGGCATGGAAACATAGAACAGGCTGATAAATCTCAGAGGGAAGGGAGGAGAGGGGAGGGCAGGAAGGGACTAACCAAAGATCTTATACACATACTAGAGGTCCAGTGCATAGATTCGTGCACCATTGGGGTCTGCAGGGATCGGGCTGAAACCTGTCCAGTGCACATGCACAAGTGGGGTCCCTCAGCCTCGCCTGTGGAGATCAGGCCAAAACCAGCAGTCCGATATCCCCAAAGGGGTCCCAGATTGCAAGAGGGCTCAGGCCAGCCCGAGGGAACCCACCAGTGCACGAATCCATGCACCAGGGCTCTATTGTTGTTATAAAAGCCAAATTGAAATTCAAAGATTCAAGAGGAAATTAAATAAATAAGTAAATCACAAAAACTAAAATTTTGTATCATTTTTTAAAATTAATTTTTGGAGATAGAGGGGGAGCTACATGAGCCAGAAACATCGATCAGTTGCCTCCCATATGCGCCCTGACCGAGGATCGAACCTGCAACCTACATATGTGCTCTGACAGGGAATTTAACCTGCCACCTTTTATTGTACAGAAGACACTCCAACCAACGGAGCCATCTGGCCAGGGCTTGATATATTTCAATTAAGAGCAGAGAAAATAAACTTTAAATAAAGCTTGACGGAGTCGCTCATTTAGTTGGTTAGAGCACCATCACATGCACCAAAAGATTGCCGATTTGATTCCTGGTCAAGGCACATAACTAGGTTGTAGTTCGATCCCCAGTTGGGGTACTTATGAAAAGCAACCGAACCCTGGCTGGTATGGGTCAGTGGCTAAAGCGTCGACCTGCAGACTGAAGGGTCCCAGGTTTGATTCCCAGTCAGGGCACATGCCCAGGCTGTGGGCTCAACCCCCAATAGGGGGTGTGCAGGAGGCAGCCTATCATTGATTCTCCCTCATTGATGTTTTTATCTCTCTCTCCCACCCTCTCTGAAATCAATAAACATATTTTAAAAAGAAAAAGAAAGAAAAGCAACCAATTTCTGTTTCTCTCTCACCTAAATGTTTCTCTCTCTTTCTCTTCCTCCTTCTCTCTCTCAAATAAAATTTAAAAAACATATATCCTCTTGTGAGGATTTAAAAAAGATATAGAATCTCAAAAAACTTCATTATTTTCAGTCCTCAAAAACAATACCATCATGGTGCGATCTAATTAGCTGAACAACTGGCATATATTTTATTATACCAGCAGTTCCTAATTTACAAGTGATTTTATAAATAATGAAAAAATCCAAATGCAGGTCATGAAAAGTAAATTTACTTATAATGTAACTGGAATAATACTGGCAATAGCCCAAGCATTGGGTCCCAAAGCAAAGTTAAGAAGTGAGTAATTACTCCAGCAGCTGAAACAGCAACCACAGCATCAAGGAGGAAGAAAAATGATCTCCAAGAGCTCACATAAGAAAGTGCTTTGGGGAAAAAAATCATGAATGAGAGAAGAAACTATAAAAGTAAAACATTCTAGCTAAAAAAAAAAAAAAGCAAAATTTGCAAGGTCTCAAGCAATAGGGAAACTAAGGAGTACTAATTGCATACATTATTCTTGAGGAATATTAATAAGTTGGGGACTATCTGCATAAAACAACATAGCATAAAAAATTAAACTTGAAATATACTTACGGATCAATAGAAACTTTAATACAGGTCATGTTCTTATCCCTCTGTTTATTGTCAGCTGCATTAACTACAAAATTAAATAGCCAATGAGTAATGAAATATGCAGTATACAAATAAATACATGGATACAACTGCATGTGCATCGAACTTAATATAAACATTTACATATGGTAATATTTAATAAAAATAATTACTGATAATATCTAATATAAAACCTTATTTTCTAAATAATATTGTTAAATTTTATAGCATACCAAATTACTGTCATGTCTTCTATTACAAAACAAGGAAGGGAGAAAATTTTGTATTATATAAAAACAAATTAAATAAGAGCAAACATCTGCAGTTTACAATCCCCTACTCCAGATCTAACAGCATAAAATTATTTTTTTTAAATATATTTTATTGATTTTTCACAGAGAGGAAGGGAGAGAGATAGAGAGTTAGAAACATCGATGAGAGAGAAACATCGATCAGCTGCCTCTTGTACATCTCCCACTGGGGATGTGCCCGCAACCCAGGTACATGCCCTAGACCGGAATCGAACCTGGGACCTTTCAGTCCGCAGGCCGACACTCTATCCACTGAGCCAAACCGGTTTCGGCTAACAGCATAAAATTAGATTTAATTATATTTTATCTTGGTAACAAATAACTACTTTCTCTTGCTCATCAATAAACTAGTGATTTTATAGACAGATTGAGCTAAAACCAATCAGTTGTTTTTTTAATAACAAGGGCAAAGTCTTTAGCATCCTCAGAAATCTCTAAATCCTATGCACTATAATTGATAATAATATATTTGTATACATTAACCACTGTTTCGGTAAATTTGAACACAAGCTGGCTGTCAAATTAAACTTCAATTATAGAAGGAATATGTTCCTAACTAAATACCTAAAAGTAAAACTGGATGTAGAGTTGGGAGACAATAGTGAAAGAAACAAAACTTAAGTAACTGGTTTTACTCTCCTATCCTCTTCCCAAAGACCCTCTGGAAGAAGCTCAGACCCAGGCAACCCTGTTATCTAGGAAATCTCAATTGGCACTGATAAGGAGGCAGAGCACAGTCTCTACAAAGTCCTTGGCTAAAAACATATCCCAAGTGCAGGCATCCCCTAGGAGTCAATTAGACTATGCATTTCACTGTGATTTGATTAATGACATGATTTGGAGAGAAAAGAGATAATTCAGAACAAAGGTTGTTAAACTTTACTGCCCAACAGGAATACTGAATTTGTTGGTGAAAACTTTTTACCTCAAACTCACTGAATCTGCAAGGTGCAGGCCCTATAATCTCTACTTTAATATGCCCCCAGGTGACTGGGATTTAAGGAACTCCCAGATTATTGCATATCCAGGACCACAGACCAATTTTGGGATTACTAATTAAATATAATACATCCATTTTACAAATGAACAATTAAAACACAAAGATATGATAAGCAGATATTACAGCAAGTTATTTAAATTTTCTGAAGAATACTTATATTCAGCATAAAAAAGATTTGCCTTTAAAATTTATAAATCTGGCCTTATATAGGGACATTATAAAGACATCAGTAGAAACAGCTGCATCAAATCTTAAGCAAGTACTCACCCAAGATTTCATCAAAGATCTTGTATAAACCTGGCACAAAGGTAACTTCTCTGCAATTCATTCCTACATCTTCATCATACACCCACATTAGCTGTGTTGAGAAAAATTCAATAGGACTTATGAAGTAAAAAGTGTTTACCATCAATTTTATAGTATAAACCCGCATTTGTCATTTATATTGTAAGAACATAGACCTCCAAAGTAAATATCAAGAACAAAATAACATATACTACTTCAGTTACAATGTCATTATATTTACAATTAATTTAATAACCTCAAAATTGAAAATTATTCATTTTGTAGCATATGTATCTTATTCATAAAAGTTAGCTTTAATATAAGGCACCAAGAATTGTTATAAATAGTATTTAAATAAAATAGAAAGAAAATGGAAATATCTTACATTTACTTTACACTTTCACTTCAAGCTATGTATTTTCCTATTGTATAAGGAGCCCAAAGTAAAATAATATGAACACAGCATGACTTTGGTATCAAAGAGATCTAGCTTTGAATCCTAGCTCTTACTAGTTGTAGATCTGAGAAAGGTACTTCATTTAAACTTCAGTGTCCTCATCTATAAAATAGAGATAACAGCACCTTCTTCCCAAAATTGTTAAAATCAAACAAGATAATGTGTAAACCAAGTCCATAGTAAGCATTAAGTCATTAGTGTGCATGTATGAATTCTAGAACTTAAAGCAGTGGTTCTTAACCTTCCTAATGCCACGACCCTTTAATACAGTTCCTCATGTTGTGGTAACCCCCAACCATAAAATTATTTTCATTGCTACTTTATAACTGTAATTTTGCTACTGTTATGAATCGTAATATAAATATCTGATATGCAGGATGTATTTTCATTGTTACAAATTGAACATAATTAAAGCATAGT